GAGGAAGGAGGGCCGAGGAGGAGAGCAGGAGAGGACCCCCCTATGATCATCACCATTTCATTCCACGACCACTGCTGCCGCGTTCGCAGTCGCGCTGATTGAGCCATGTTGCCGCGCGCTCACAGGCCCGCGGGGCTGTCCATGAGAGTGACGCCCAGAGCATACTCGGTTTCGCCCTGTCGGTTTCGCCCAGTCGGTTTCGCCTGGTCGGTTTCGCCCGTTCGGTTTCGCCTGGTCGGTTTCGCCCAGGACTGTTTCGATCAGCGTGCCTGGGGCGGTTTCGCCTGGGACGGTTTCGCTCGGGACGGTTTCGCCTGGTCGGTTTGGCCCGAGCACATTTCGCCTAGTGACGGGCTCGCCCAGTGAATGTCTCGCCCGGGAGATCTTCGCCCGAACCGATTTCGCCCGCGGCCGAAACCATCGCGGGCGACATCGTTTCGGGCGAAACGGGCGCCTTCAGACTGGCCTCCCTAGGGAGCCGATGGCCGTCGCATTCGACGAGATGTCCGCCCTCCTCCTCCGCCTCCATAACGACATCAGCGGCGGCAAGGCGGCCTCCCCTTCCCTCTGGACATGTTGGCGCCAGCTCAAGCGTTCGGTGGCGGCGGCCCGCTTGCGCAGCATGGGGCGCAGGCTCGCAACGAGCCCCTGGCTTCCGAGGCGTCTTGCCTCTTCTGGGGATCCGAGCCACGGCCAAGCAGCGCCTGCACGGTACCTCGCCCCCCGCCAGGGGCACGGCATCGTGGGCAACCACCACCAGCTGCGGCCCACGAGGTCTCTGGACCTGGAAGGGTGCAGGGTCAGAAGGAGCTGACACCTCGGCTCTGGCGCAACTTATCGGCGCAGCACGCGACAGAAGCTGTCACGAGTAACCGCGTGCGGCAGCCTGGAGCGACGCCACAGCAACATTAAGAACGGTCAAATCCTGGGCACTTGGCTTGGCACAGAAATCAGCCCAATCATTGCCCATGGCACGCGAAATTTCACCAGCACTGGCGCCTTGCTCGATTGACCCCTGCAGCGACAGGAGTGCAGGAGTCCAGTGGAACACGGGCTGTATGGTGTGGCCGGGACACCCGCGGAAGATGTTGCGAGACATCGACGCCTGAAGGGGAGTAGGAGTATGACGAGTGAGGTTCGAGAGTGGAAGAGGGTGATGATGATGATGATGATGATGATGATGATGCTTCTGCTGATGATGATGATGATGATGGTGGTGGTGGTGGTGGTGATGATGATGATGATGAAGCTGCTGCTGCTGCTGATGATGATGAAGATGCTGATGTTGATGCTGCTGCTGCTGCTGATGATGATGATGATGATGCTGCTGATGCTGCTGCTGATGATGATGATGATGATGCTGATGATGATGAAGATGACGATGATGATGATGATGAGGCTGATGCTGCTGATGATGATGATGATGCTGATGCTGATGCTGATGCTGATGATGATGATGCTGATGATGATGAGGATGATGATGATGATGATGATGATGATGATGATGATGATGATGATGATGATGATGATGCTGCTGCTGCTGCTGATGATGATGATGATGATGATGATGATGATGATGATGCTGAGCTGCTGCTGATGATGATGATGCTGCTGATGATGATGATGATGCTGATGCTGCTGCTGCTGCTGATGATGACTGATGATGATGATGATGATGATGATGATGATGATGTGCTGATGATGATGATGATGATGATGATGATGATGATGATGCTGCTGATGCTGCTGCTGATGATGATGATGATGATGATGATGATGATGATGATGATGATGATGATGATGATGATGATGATGATGATGATGCTGATGATGATGCTGCTGCTGCTGCTGATGATGATGCTGCTGCTGATGATGATGATGATGATGATGATGATGATGATGATGATGATGATGATGATGATGATGATGATGATGATGATGATGATGATGATGATGATGCTGATGCTGATGCTGATGCTGATGCTGATGCTGATCATCTCGGATCAATCCTTCAGACACGAGGGGGCCTACAACACTCGAGCTCGTATGGGAGGGTCTGCTTGAAATGGGACATGACAGGTAGCCATGGTGTCAAGGTGCTTAGTGCTCAGCACCTTGCGATGCTCCACCTCCGAGTGAGAGTTTCCGCTTGACACCAGCCCCCTCCTCACGCTGAGGCCCTCCCTGCTGAATCATGGCCCCCACGGGGTGGCATCCCAAAAGGGGCAGAAGCAACAGCGCCAAAAGTTGATGTTTATGCCGCATTCTGCCCTTTTGACTTTTTCTAGGTAGAGAGCATGTTGGTGCAGTGGTCCGCAATCGATCAGAGTTGGTCCGCACCCTCTCAGTGACATTCGAATTTAGGCTCCTCCTGTTAACAGGCGAAGAGCGGTACAAGTGGCACGCGTGCTCTGGCTCTTGCACTTTTGAGGAGAGAAGGAGGATGAGGCGCAGGTGGGGGGATCGAGGAGACAAGGAAGAGGAGGAGGAGGAGGAGGAGGAGGAGGAGGAGGAGGAGGAGGAGGAGGAGGAGGGGCAGGTGGGGCCAGGGCGCCTCGGTGCTGAATCAGCGGTTGTCGATTGGGACCTGCTCGAACGAGTTTTTTTCACAGCTGAGGCGCGGCAGATTTTTCCAGACTGGGCCAGGAGGGGCTGGTTCAGGGACAGGGCCAGCGGGGCAAGGGGTGCTGGGGCCAGGTCCAGGGGGTGAGGCTGGCTCCAGGGCAAGGACCAAGACCAGGGGGACGACAACGAATCAAAATGAAGGGTCAGGCGCGAGGGGGCGTGGGGCCAGGGTCAGGGGAGGAGGTTGGGTCCAGGGCCAGGGCCAGGGGCACGACGACTTGCGAAAATGAGGGGTCCAGGGCGAGGGGAGCTGGAGCCATGGCCAGGAGAGGACGCTGGGTCCAAAGACAGGACCGGGGGGGCGACTTCGAGGGGGGCTGGGACTAGAACCAGGGTGGGAGGCTGGGTCGAGGGCCAGGACCAGGGGGTCGACGACAAGCGAAAAATTCGAGGTCCAGCGCGAGGGGGGCTGGGGCCAGGGCCAGGGGAGGAGGCTGGGTCCAGGGCCAGGGCCAGCGGGGCAAGGGGGGCTAGGGCCAAAACCAGGGGGGAGGTTGGGTCCAGTGTCAGGTCCAGGGGGACGACGACGAGGGGGCTGGGGCAAGGACCAAGGGGGAAGCTGCGTCCAAGGCCGGGACCAGGGGGACGACGACAAGCGAAAAATTCGAGGTCCAGCGCGAGGGGGGCTGTGGCCAGGTCCACGGGAGGAGGCTGGATCCAGGGCCAGGGCCAGCGGGGCGAGGGGGGCTAGGGCCAAAACCAGGGGGGAAGGCTGGGTCCAGTGCCAGGACCAGGGTGACGACGACGAGGGGGGCTGGGGCTAGGATCAAGGGGGGAGGCTGGTTTCAAGGCCAGGACAGGGGGACGACGACGAGCGAAAATAAAGGGTCCAGCGTGAGGGGTCTGGGACCAGGGTAGGAGGAGGAGGAGGAAGAGGAGGAGGAGGAGGAGGAGGAGGAGGAGGTGGAGGTGGAGGAGGAGGAGGAGGAGGAGGAGGAGGAGGAGGAGAGGAGGAGGAGGAGGAGGAGGAGGAGGAGGAGGAGGAGGATGAGGAGGAGGGGGAGGAGGAGGAGGAGGAGGAGGAGGTGGAAGTGGAGGAGAAGGGGAGAGGGAAAAACGTCGCATCCGATTATCCGCACATTCCTGGCGTGGCGCTTCCGCAGCAAATCCTCACGTGCAGGCTCCTTCTACCTGTCCTATGCACGCAGGCACTGTGGTGTACAATAGCGCTGCGTTGCACGCGGATGCTGTGGTGTAGACAGGCGCTGTGGCGTGCACAGGCGCCGCGCTGCACGCAAGCATTGTGGTGTACACAGGCGCTGCGTTGCACATGGTTGCCTCCGGTGTGCACATGTACACCGGCGCTGTAGTGTACGCAAGCACTGCAGTGTACACATGCGCTGCGTTGCACACGGTTGTTGCGATGTACGCAGGCGCTGTGGTGTACACGTGCGCTGTGGTGCACGCGAGCGTTGTGGTGTACACAGGCGCAGGGGGGCAGATCGCCACCTACATGCTGCTCGCGTCGTCGTCGTCGTCGTCGTCGTCGCTTGTCGCTCTTCGTGTCGTGCGCGCGGGCGCGGCTGTGGTGCCGGAGCCACACGGCGGGGGGGGGCGGCGTTACGTCGTACCCCCCATGGCGCCCGTCATCGCCGAGCATAAAGAAACGCTCTCAAACAATTTCGAGCACCCGGAAAAGTGTCGAAACAGTGTCGAAACAGTGTCGAAAGAGTGTCGAACGAGTGTCTCCCATGGCCCGACACGTGCCCTCAAGTTTCGATACTTTCTTGGTGCTCGAAAATCTTTCTGGTGATCAAGGCGAAAGTAGGTTGGGACATCATACATCCACTGTAGTATGGAGTTTCGGGCTCCCTTCCCCAGAAACCCGAGGCGCACTGGATATGGACAAATTTGCCCCCCCCCAGAGGCCAGGTTTTGATCAATGTCCAGTGCACCTCGGCCTCGTGAGGCGCTTCTTCCAAACAGGAGTTCAATGCGCACTGGATGTGGACAGAAGTCTTGCCCGCACGCTCGTCCGCCGCGGAACCTCCCCGCTTCCCTACCTCCCTGCTGCCGTTTGCCTCGGTTCTGCCGCTGCTGCTGCTGCTGCTGCCGCTGCTGCTGCCGCTGCTCGGCCGCCTCGCTCGCCCCCCTCTCTCGGGTCGGCGCTCCCGCGGGGAACGCGCGAGAGGGGGCGCCGGGCTTCCCGGGAGGCTCGGAGGGCTGCCGAGCGAGCAGCTTCTGCGGAGCCTCCGCCGAAGACGGGGGCGGCCTCGCAGGAGGCCGGGGGGCTTCTTCTCCGAGGAGCCCCGCCGCCTCCCGCGAAGGCCTGCCCTCGCTCTGACCTCCCCCTCCCGTCCCGGGGCTCACCGCCTGTCGTGGCCCAGCGTTTTTTTGGCGGGAGGGCTCTCCTCCGCCTCGTGGCCCCCGGCGCCATGGCGGGTTGCCGCGTGCTCATCCTGGGCGCCGGAGGACACGCCCCTCCTCGCCGGGTTGGGGTGGAGGAGGAGGAGGAGGAGGAGGAGTAGGAGGGGGAGGGGGAGGGAGGAGGAGGAGGAGGAGGAGGAGGAGGAGGAGGAGGAGAGGAGGAGGAGGAGGAGGAGGAGGAGAGGAGGAGGAGGAGGAGGAGGAGGAGGAGAGGAGGAGGAGGAGGGAGGAGGAGGAGGGGAGGAGGGGGGGAAGTGGGCGTTTGCTCCGGGGCAGTGTCAGGAGGGGATATGCTCAGGGCGGACGATCGACCCCCAATCGCCCACTGATCGCTGAGGGGGGCCCGATGGTCCACCCCGCTCAGGAGCGTGCGGAGTCGCCATCGGGGGCCCATCGCCGATCCACTGGCGATGTCTGGCAAGGAGGGGGGGGCCGGCGGGAGCTCCCAAATGAGACCCCTGTCTTTCATATTGGAGTCGACAAAGAGATGCACCTTGGTAAACACAAGATTAATACATCGGTGGCAGGAACCGTGCCTGGCCTAGTGCCCGTACGCGGACGAACATATCCCTGACTGCCCTCAGTCTTCCAAAAAGCCCCAGACTGACTTTTTTGCAGGAGAGCAAGCAAATGGGAAGAGGGAAGCGTGTTCTCGAAGACAGGCCTGTCCGATTCTAGCTCGAGACCTACCGCATGAACAAGGACAGGTGGCAAGTCACATGTGAGAAGGATGTGAGAGATGTCGTCCTGATCCTGCGGCAAGGAGAGAGCAAACTGTCTTATGACCGAATAGAACGCATTGGAGAGATCAAGAAATATAGCCGTGCTACTCGCCTTTCGGTGTTGAGCAGCTTTCCAATGCAACCTAACCACGTGCCCTGAGGTGTCACAAGACCGCCCAGGGAGACCTCCCTGCTGAGAAGCCAGCAACGCCTGCTGGAGAAAATCCAGCGCTCGGCCTCGGACGAAGCGGTGATATAGTTTACCTATGGTGTTCGCCTTCAAGATATTGCGCTGATTGCGAGCTAGGAAGACTTCCTTAGCGCCTTTGTAGAACCAAGCAACACGACCGTCTTTGAAGCCCAGCGGCTCCCTTCCTCCCATGGACGTCTTACAGAGCAGGGGCAAGAAAAGGGCAGTCATTTCCTCGGGCGCAACATGTTGCAAAGCGTCACGCAGCCCATCAGGACCCGCAGCAGTCGTCATATAAGCCCTTCGCATTAGAAACCGCACATCGAGATGGGTGGGAATACATTCTGAATCTAAAGAAGGAGCCTGACCTGCAGCAGCGGCAGAGAGGGGCTGCAAGGCAAGAGAGGCAGGAGCGAAACAGTTCCCATCCCACGCATAATGCTGTGTCTGCTCAAGAGGGTACTCAGATGGAAAATTGGGACTCCAACGCTCGCATGTAACCCCTTCCTCAGCTCGAGGCCAATGTAAAGTGCCAGTTGAGCAGGCCCCTCCGTTATCCTCACTGTACCCTGGGCTCTTGAGTGACATCGGCGCGCTGCTCCCTCCATCCGAACTGTCGAAGTGGTCGAGGTCGTGGTTCGGGTTCGCGAGCGGGGGGGCGGCGGGCGCGGGTGCAGGCAGAGAGGTAGCACCAGCAGTAGGAGAAGACACCGCTAGAGGAAACTGCATCGCACATGATGAGGCAGAAAGTCCGTAGCCTGTACCGGTGTCGTGCCTCCTGTCAGTCTCGGGAAAAGGGGTGCCGCAAACTGGGGAAGCCTGAGTACAAGCAGGAGCGGGAGCCAGGGGAAGAGGCGTCGTGTTGTGGTATTCCACAGCCTCTTGATCGGTGAGAGCCTGGGCTTTCTCAATACCTCCGAAGAACTCTTGCAGATGCTGCGCCACAAGATCGGAGGAGGCAAGCGGGTTACCCTGGTCGTCAGGCATGTATGGGAAGGCCGTGGGCTTTTTGTTGCGCCCCCCGAGACGCAGGAGCTTTATGATGCCTTTGCCAGGCCTGCCTGGCCATGCCCCCGTCGACAGAGAGTTTAGCCTCCTGAGCAATCCCTTCAAGAAAACGACACCTGTCTTTTTCGAGCTGGTTGGCAAGAACATGCTTGGAACGTAGAATGAACGAGTGAAGGGCAAGAGTAAACTCGTCATGATGCGCAGTTCCGTTGACATCGAAGGGCCACCTGCCGCACTAAAGTGTAGAGGGCGTCCCATGGGGGGTCCTGGAGCTCCCTATATCCCTTGCCAAGGTCCCCGCTGGTCCACCGACCAGCAAAGTGCAAGAGAATCCTCGAAACCGTGGCACCAGGAGGCAGGGCAGAGGGGCGCGCCACCTTACGCAAAACGCGAATAACTCCACGGCGAGCAAGCACAAGCAGATGGGAGGAGGCAGAGATGTAAGACTGCCTAGGGCGACTGCCTATGCGGGTGAAGACCTCTTTCGCGGCATGGTTGACCTGCTTGGTGGCCAAAGCCATATGTTCCGATGGGGAAACAGACCATTCGATGGGGGCAAGCTCCGAGAGACGTTCCCGAAACTGAGACACCCTCTCGGGGTCCCTGAGAAGATCATCGTCCAGCCGTGTCGACGAGGCTTGGCGCACAACCCGCTCCTGGTGAAGAGTGAGATTGGCAAGCACGGGGAGATGATCACGCTGCTGAGAGAAATTGTCAAGCTCCTTCCAAGTGTGGACGGCAGAGATATTGGAGGCCAAGCCCTGGGAGACACATATAGTCTATGCGGTGCCGAACATTCTTGTTGGTTACAAACGTGTAATCGTCACTATCACCTTGCATGGTGTTGACAGCTACCAGTGCCGCTTCATTGAGAGATTGCCTGAATCTCAGCCCAGGAGGGTCCTCGTCCTGGTGAAATCCCTGGTCCCCGACCGTTGCATCCGTGCAGGTACCGAGCCGCGCGTTGGCGTCGATGAGCATGATCTGAAGTCCCCAAGCGGCAAGCTGTTCGTCCAGGGGGGTCCAAAAAGCATCCCGGTCTGAAGCTTTGTGACCCGAATGATACGCATGAGCAACTGCCACAGTGACCTCTAGACCTGGAGCTTGAATCCGCACCGCAAGAAGACGAGGGGTAGCATGTTGCACGGAGAGATGACGGGGGTGAAAGAGCAGAGGGCGGCCTTTACACTGCCCATAAGGTTCCTCAAGGTTGACCCAAAGCTCGACACCAGCCGAGTGATTGATATGGCCAGAAGCCAAAACCTGGTAGGCGCCCTTTCTCTTCGAACTCTGGGGGGTCCGCGCCTCCTGGATCCCGACAAGATGGATTTTCTTGTTGTGAAGCTGTTGCCGTGTCATTTGAGACCGCATTCCTTGGACATAGGCATTGCTCGACTTCTTGTGGGATTCAGCAAGGGAACGCGTGTTATACTGGGCCATAGAGAGAGAGCAATCGTCTGATGTTGGAGACGCGTGGGCACAGGTGAGGCAAGGTCATCAACGGTGGCAAGAGAGCACGGCAGCGGAGCATCAAAGGAGAGATGGATGCACTCACCAACTTGCTTCTGCACGAGAGATGGATAAGCTGATGCAACCTCAGATGGGGCATTAAGAAGCCAAACCCATTCAACTGCACGGGTGAAGTCCATGAGATCATATAGAGGATCGTGCAGAGCAGAAACCTCCAACTTACCTTTCATGGTGGCCCGAGCGACGTTATCAACAATAGTGTTCCAAGGATGGTCGTCGTGCCCCTTGACGTGTCAGATCTGGATTTCGCACCGAGGTCTAGCCTTGACCAGAGGCGCATACGTGAGCCTAGCAATATTTCGCTTGGCCTTGCTATTGGACCTGCCGGTGAGGAAGTCGACTGCATTCAAGCTGTCACTCCAGATGGTGACTGGCAAGGGCGCTTCCTGAGTGAGAGTAACAAGCAGAGCCCAGGGTATGGCTAAGAGCTCAACATCCGTGCTGTCCAGATCTTCGGGGGGGCCTAGAATGCAGGACTGGGTCCACTGGGAACAGATGAACCCCCTATAGGCATAGCCATCCCTGTCCTGCGAAAGCGCAACAACTCCCCAACTCGCAGTGGTGTTGTCGGAAGGGTCGAGAGACGCGTCGGCATAATAGTGTTGATGCTCCCACTCACCGAACCTGGGCGGACAGAGGCTGAGGGCCAGGCTTCCTGGCTCCTCCAAGTCGGGGACAGCCTCGCGTCGCCACACAAGAGAGACCCTGACGTCCTTGGCAAGCCAAGCAGAGGGGAGTCGGCCGAGATCGCACTGAAGAGGCGATGGAGACTCAGGGAGCGACGATCGATGCGTGTTGGTATTTTCCGCATGGCGCTCAGAGGTTGAGAAACGAAATGACGGGCCCAAGGAGGGGGTCGTCACCATGACCTGAAACGGATGGGGGGACAGAGCCAGGAGTGGGCGACGACTCGCTGCCCCCTCTGGGAGGAGCCAGGGCGCGGGCCATAGATGGGACATCAGAAATGGGGAGAGAGGAGGGGATGTACTGAGCGCTCGCATAGGCGCTCGACAGATCCTGCTGCATAGCTTCACCCTGTGAGACCGGCCAAGTGTCAGGCGCAGGCGAGACGCAACTGCTGGAGAAATCGCTCGAAGCGGGGAGGCCCGCTGAGCTCATCTCGTCCGGCCTCAACTGTCAGAGGTCAACGAGGCACAGGGCGACAGGCTGCACCGCCGAAGGGGCGGCAGCCGCGGCAAGGGATTGAAAATGACTAGTGTCAGAATCCTCGCTGGAGTGCGCGTGCGATCCCGAAGGCGACCCCGCGGACAGGGCGCCAAGGTCCCTTAGCTCCTGCTCATGGCCGCTGTGGCCAGCAGGAGTCTGGGCCAGAAATGGGGCTGGATCCTGCGAGGAAGCTGACGTGGCTGCATATATATCGCCACGTGAAGAGAGCCTAGGACTGCTAACAAAATGTTGCAAAAGGCTGGAGTCTGAGCTTTCGCTGGAGTCGGGCGGCGGGTCCCTGGAAGAAGCCGCGCGGCCGGGGCCGCTGGAGCCCTGCGCCTCCGTATCCTGGCCGTCTTGGCCTGGAGGAGACGGGCCCGAGGGAAAAGTAGTTTCTGTCGAAGGCTCAGACGCGGAGGCGGGCGGCTGGTAGTCGTGCGAGTGGAGATCGGACCCCCACAAACGCCACGCTTGCCCAGACCAGAGTGGATTGGCGAGATGGCCTGGGCGGCCTGCCTCGACAGAGATCCGATGCCGTGCTCGGATGTAGGCGTCTAGAGCACCCTGTAACTCCAGACCATGCTGCGTCGGGTAGGCGGTCCTCGTGCGATCGAGACGCCGAAGATAAGCTGAGCGACGAGATCCTGACATTTGCCAGGCCTCCCTACAGATTATTTCCGCCTGCCTGCGCCAAGCGCGCCTGCTGTTGATACCGTATATCGGGTGGAAGAGCGGGTGAACATCTGGCAGGGTGTGCAGATATGCTTCTACCCACGGAACGCAGTCTTCAAGCCACTGGGCCTTGGCCTGATCATCTGACATGAAAATGGCATTATACTACCAGGGCTTAAGCTTGTACGGAAGCCTCTCAGCCAAGCGCTCAGAGGCCTCAAAGGCTTCGAGCAGGCCAGGAGGGGCAGGCTTGGAGGATGGAGGGGGAGAGATATCTGCCATCGCTGGGGATTCCAGTCGCTGAACGTGCCTACGAAAGGAGCCCATCTCCCAGGCGTCCGAGCAAATCACGATGGCATCCTCAAAGCGGCCCGTATAGTCAGGGGCGCGATGAGCCAGAACGGGAATCGCTGCAATGGTGTCGGCTACGTGCTCAACGCACCATCGCATCCAGACCTGCTTGGCCACCTGCTCTCCAGATTGAGCTGCGTCGCTATCCCAGAAGTGGGTGAACATAGCTAGGTAAGAGGCGAGCTGGTCACTGGCAGTCAGCGCGTCAAATCTGCACTCCTCCTGCTCCGCAGAGGTTGCGACGCGCTGAGTGTTGTGATGCTCGTATCCGCCGCCCCCGCTCGACCCAGCCCCGCCACTAGAAGAGCTGCTGGCAGCATGCAGTTGGTATTGTGCGATTGGCTCAAACCCGGAGTTACTCGCAAGCTTAAAAGTCGGCTGTCGTCGTTCTCCCCCCCCCGTCCTCCACCCGCCGCCCCCGCAAGTGGCTCGATCCATGACTAGCGAAACTTGGCTCTCAAACGCTGGCTCGTTCCCTCTGCCGGCGTTCGTAGGCGCAAATTCTGGTAGCGGAGCGGGGGCTGCTGTGTGCGAAGGCTTCTGGAAGGCGCTGGCATCGGTCGGTCCAGGAGAGGCCGCGCACGCCGAGGCAGGGAGAGAGGAAGCATTAAGCGCGTCTAGACCCGCGTGCCGTAACAAAGTGTGAGAAACTAAAGCAGGAACTGAATGCGGCGGCTCAGATAGATAGGCGCTAGCCTCACCAATATCTCCATGACGGTCAGGATCATAGAACTGCGTGTGGACGTAGCCCCAGGAGATCCCTATGCGTCGTCTGCTAGGCCTTGGCACACATGGGCGGGCTCGCCCGCTGGAGGCGACCGACTCCTCTCCTTGATGGCCTTGCCTTTGCCCTTGAAGCACATCCTGCCATCGTGGTCGATGTAACTCTGAGGGCCACGGAGCTGCTCCTGACTGGGATTGATCTGGGTCGGGGCGAAATGCTCGGGCGCCGCGTGAGGTGTCTCCTGGGTCGGCGGGAGGCCCCGCATCTGAGTCGGTCCAGGCGTTCCAGGAACTGGTTTGTCCTCGGGAGCTGTGGCCGCCGCCGCTGGTGTCCCTGGAGCTGCGGTCGCTGGTGTCCCTGGAGCTGCCGCTGCAACTGGCGCTGCCGTCCGTGTCCCAGGAGGAGCCGCCGCTGCTGCTGGCATCAACGTCGCAGGAATCGGGATGCCCTGAGCCTGGTACATCTCGATGATGGCCGCCTGGAGCTGAGCATCTGTGAGGGAAGCCGGCGCCGATGCTGTACTCCCTGCTGCTGGAACTCCCGCCGCTGGCGCCGACACTGGCTCGGCCGCCTGAAGCGTTGGGAAGGGGCCTGCTGGTGGTGGAGCTGCCGTCGCACAGTGGTTCAGCATGTACTGATGCATCAACCTCATCTGCGCCGCCATCTGTTGATTGTGCTGGTAGATGAGGTCGCGCTGCTGAAGTGCTGCATCGCGCTGCTCTCGGAACGAAACCGCCTCGGCTGGCAGCCCTGGGCTCGGAGGTGCTGTGCCCTGAGCTGTACCTGATTCCACTGCCATGGTACTCGGAGGCTGCTGGATGATCTCCGCGATCTCGGCCTTGATCTTGTTGTCGATGTCGATCAAGCTCTGATTCAAGTCCTCCACCTCCTCGCGGCCTTCTTCGGCCTGAGCCTCGAGCACATTGATCCTGGCATAGGTATTGTGCAGGCGGTCCTTCGCCTGAGCCGAGTCAGTGCTTGTTCGCGCTGCTCCTTCAGCGGCAGCAGCTGGTCCTGGCAATAGCGGAGCATGCCGAGCTCCTCCTTGAAGTCCTCGTCGCCTTTGCGGGCCCGCAGCGCTGCCACCGCCGCCTTGGCCAGCGTCGTCATACGAGCGCTGAGCCTGTCCTTGAACGCCTGCAGGTGGCGCGAGTCCGTCGGGGCCTGCCACTCGCCCCAGCTGGGGTGCGCCTCCGCGAACTGCTGCGTGGCGGGGACCAGCCTCGAGAGGTAGCGCTCGACGGCTGGCGAGAGGAGGCGTCCTTGTGCGACTTGCTGGCTGAGCGCGGCCGCCGAGGCTGACTGTGTGACCTCGTGCGCTTGTCCGCGAAAGCACCACCGCAAGCACAGTACCACTGCCAGTGTTGAATTCGCTCGTTGCAGGAGCCGCAGGTCCATCCTTGCTGAGATGCCATGTCGACTTCCTCGGAAGACTGTCGTGGTGCCTCTGGCTGGCGCTGGGCGCTGTGATGCTGCGACAGAAGCTGTCCAGCTCGTAGCACGCGCAGGAGCGTGCGCGCTGTGCCGCGAGCGCGCCGCTCACGACGGTGCCACGTGGGCTCGCGAGAACGATCGCGACTGCGAGCGCGGGACTGAATGGTTGCGGACGCGAGCCCCTGCTCGCGCCTCGCGAAAGGCCAAGGCTGCTGGGCTACCCACCTGAGGGCGACCCAGTCTTGAGCCCAAACCTTCTCCTCCTCTTCCTCCTCCTCCTCCTCCTCCTCCTCCTCCTCCTCCTCCTCCTCCCCCTCCTCCGCCTCATTTTCCCTCGTCCTTCTTATCCTCCTCCTCCTCCGTCCCGTCCCGTCCCGTCCCGTCCTCGGCCCTGGCCCCTCCTCCCCTGCGGCGACGCTGTCGAGCGCAGCGCCGCGCGGCTCTCCGTGCGCAGAGCGAGCGGGGCCGCCGAGGGCCACGGGATCGCTGGAGACCAGCCGAAGACCCCCCGAGGGCCGGCGGGGCGAGGAGGTGTCCATGGCCCTGGGTCGTGTGCGGTGGCGCGAAGATAATCTCGGGATGAGCGAAGCTGGCACGGCCGGACCGAGGTATAACTTCGAGGTCGGTTCGGGGAGGGTGCCCCACGGTTCTTCTTCGTGTGCCCAGGATGTTCTAGTTGGTGCATCCTGGGGGAGGGTGCCCCCGAGTGTTCTTCAGCTTGGCCGGCGGAGGGTCTCGTGTTTTTGCAGAGTGGTCTTTTGTCTTAGGTCCGACCGTACGGAAGGAGTGGGGCTAAAGACCGGAAGCATTTCCTGTCCGTTCTGAGCAGAGCTCCCCGTCGGCGTCGCCGCGGGCGTGGTATATTGCAGAGAAGCGCCGCCTGCCCCAAACAGCGGCCGCCGTCAGCTTTTGGCACCCTTTCTTCAGCCACGCGCAGAGGGGGGGGGAGGGGGGAGGGCTTCTTAAAAGCACCCCTGCTTCTTAGAAGGCGCGGGCCTTATCTATAGATGTAAGGCCAGCGCTTTCTAAGAAGCAGCCTCCTTCTAGGAAACCCTCCCCCCTCCCTTCACCCCCTTGTGCGCGCCGCCAATTTCTGCCGTCGGGCATCGCCGTCCCCACTTCTGGCGTGCCGATGGGTCACCCGCGGGGGCGCGAGGATAATCGCGCTTTGCGCGTCGCTGTCTGGGCCAGGGCTCCACCGCAAAAAATACATAATTTCACGGGCACCCTCCAGTGGATTGTTCCTGGGCCTCAGAGGGGAGGACGGCGGTGTATATGCAAGACCATTGAGAGCCAGCGACTTTACAACACACCGCCACCCTCCCTGAAGGTACGTGCAAAATGCTGGAGGGTGTCCGTGTGTGTATAGCTATCTGTCCGTCTGTCCGTCTGTCTGTCTGTCCGTCTGTCTGTGCAATCCGGCTGGGGCCCCAGATACAGCTGGGCCGTTTCACCACGCGAGACTCGCGATGTTCCGCGTCATGGCCCTCGATGCGTGGTTGGGGGGTGCCCCAGCGACGTGGGAACCCGAGAGATAGAGCCTGTCTGTCGGTCTGTCTTTTTGTCTGTCTGATGTCTGTCTGTCTGTCTGTCTGTCTGTCTGTTTGTCTGTTTGTCTGTTTGTCTGTTTGTCTGTCTGTTTATTCATCTATCTGTTTATCTTTTGCATATATATATACACATATATCCGTGGCGTATGTCTATCTGTCTATCTGTCTGTCTGTCTGTCCATCTGTCTATATGTCTATATGTCTAGTTGTCTGTCTGTCTGTCTGTCTGTCTGTGTGTCTGTCTGTCTGTCTGTCTGTCTGTCTGTCTGTCTGTCTGTCTGTCTGTCTGTCTGTCTGTCTGTCTGTTTATCTATCTGTCCACGTGCTCGTGGCGTCGGGGCGGCCGTCCCGACGACTGCAGCCGTCCATGCCATCGGCTGTGCCCTGCGGCTGCCTCGGCCCTCCTCCTCCGCGGCCCCCCCCGCGTGCTCCCCTGCCGCTCGGCGCCTGCGCCGCTCGGCGGTCTCCGCGTCCACCTCCTCCTCCTCCTCCTCCTCCTCCGCCTCCTCCCCTCTCCCTCTCCTCCCCCCTCCTCCTCCCCCCTCCTCCTCCCCCCTCCTCCTCGTCCTCCTCCTCCTCCTCCTCCTCCTCCTCCTCCTCCTCCTCCCCCTCCTCGGCGCCTGCGGCGCTCGTGGCCGAGCCTTGCGCCGCCCCGACGGGCAGAGCCTGCCTGCTCTGGGGAGACCAGCACGGTGGGAACCCGTGCTAGGCAAGACCCTGCTTGCCTCCAGGGTGCCCTGGGCCTTCTGGGTTTTTCGATGGTCTTGCAACGGGAAGCGTGGCGTTCCCACGCCAGACATCGATGGACGCCCTGGGGTCGCAGGTCTGGGTTTCCAGCGGAAGGTTTCTTGTGGACTGGCCTCCGCTGTATTCATCATCGTTGGAACCATCCCACCCCCATTTGGGCAGGGTAAGTCGGCTCTCCCAGCGTACCCCCTCGAGGTTTGTAATGTTTCAATCTACTTTGGCCTTGATCGCCAGACAGCATTTCGAGCACCAAGAGAGTACCGAACCTTGAAGGTTTTCACGTGTCGGGCCCTGGGAGGCGATAGTCGTTCGACACGTCGCGCCCGCGTGTCGGGCATACACGGCTTCGGTTTTTCTTGTCTGGGTGCTCGGATTTTTTTTTGGGGGGGATGTGGCCCCTGTAAGTACGATGGGAACAATATAAAACTCCAGGTGGGGAGGGGTGCTCCGAGACCCGAAGGAAACGGTGCCTGTTCCCACCCCAGGGGGGGGGGGGTAGACTGCCCACCGGGGCCAAAGTTCCCCTGGTGGGGGTGGGGATTTTTTCCCTCGTCCAGAAACATTTCGGGGCCAGAACGCAGCACGACAGAAACATTTTTTCGTCGGCGGCGAGGCAAAGGCGGCCCGCTCCAGCGTGTGGCCATTCGGGGCCACCGAAAGGCGAACTGTCCGGCGTGCAAGAGGAAAGGAGAAAGACGAGGGCGGCCGAGGACGACAAAAACGAAGGAGGAGGAGGAGGAGGAGGAGGAGGAGGAGGAGGAGGAGGAAGAGGAGGAGGAGGAGGAGGAGACCCGACTGACAAGGCCCCGACTGACAGAGCCCTGGTTGAGCACGCAGCCGCCCTCCGACCTCGGCCAGGCGGGCCCGTCCTCGGCCCCCCCCGCCGACCCCCCCAGAGGACAGCTCGGCCGCCGCGTCGGGCAGGCGCCCCGCGCGCCGCCCGCCCCGCCCCTTGCGAGCGCCCCGGCGGCTCCCTTTCTCGTGCTGCGTCGCCCTCGTCCTGCTGCTGTTCCTCCTCCTCCTCCTCGTCCTCCTCGTCCTCCTCCTCCCTCCTCCTCCTCCTCCTCCTCCTCCTCCTCCTTATACTCTTCTTCTTCCTCCTCCTCTTCCTCCTCCTCCTCCTCTTCCTCTTCCTCCTTATACATCTCATACTTCTCCTCCTCATAGTCCTCCTCCTCCTCCTGCTTCGTCTCGAGACTCGTTCGTTTCGGCGTTGTTGTTCTTCTTCTTCTTCCTCCTCCCTCCTCCTTCTTGCTCCTCCCCCTCCTCCTCGTCCTCCTCCTCCCTCCTCCTCCTCCTCTTCCTCCTCCTCCTCCTCCTCTTCCTCTTCTTCCTCCTCCTCCTCCTCCTTCTCCTCCTCCTTTTCCTCCTCCTCCTCCTCCTGCTCCTCCTCCTGCTCGTTCTCCTTGCCGTGTCCGCGTCTAGGTCGCCGCCGCTGGGTCCCTGGCCCGCCGCGGGTCTCCGATGGCGGCGGCGACGGATCGCCGCGCAGCGCTGGCTGTGGCCCGCGGGACCGCGCTGGCGGTGCATGGCGCTGCTGGCCAGTCGCGGGGTGTGGCGGCGGCTCGCCTGCTGCGCTTGGCGGACGGCATCGTGCGTGCCGCGGCGGCGATGCTCGAGGCCGAGCGTCGAGCTGCCCGTGCAGCGGCTGCAGGTCGTGATGGTGATGGCGGCGACGGAGGCCCAGGCGTGCCACCTCGCGCTCCAGCGGCGGACGCCCTGGTGGCCAGGGGCCACGGCGGAGGCGACGTCGCGCTCGGCGCCGCCGAGCTCGCGGAGCGCAGGACGGGCCCATGGTGCTCGACAGCGCTTCTGGTGCAGCTGGCGGCGGTGGTCGGGGGGTGGACGGTGGCAGCGACCTAGAGGACGATGCCTGGGCGGACGTGGTGGTGTCGCGCCCTGCGCCCTCGGCCGCGGGTGCCTGCTGCGCTGCCTGGCGCCGCCGCTGGGGCGCCCCCCAGCCGTGAGTCGCCTGGAGCTTCGCTCGGCGGCGAGGCGGGGAGCGCTGGGGCGTCCTGGCCCCTCGGCCCTCCGGCGCCTGCTGCTGCTCCTGACGGAGTCGGCCGCCTGCTCAAGGAGCTCGCGGCCGCCGGCCCCATGGGGGCCGCCTCCGATTTCCTCCGCCGCCGCTGCGGCGGCGACGAGGACCGCATGCGCGACTTCGTCGCGCCGGTGGCCCGGGGGGGCGGGGCGGGGGCGGCTGGCCGCGGGAAGAGTGGTACGCGGTTGTCCCGAGCTGCGTGCCCTGTGCCGGTTTTTTCGGCCGCTTCATGGGCCTCTTCTGAGGCGGCGCGCAGGAGCGGACGGCGCCGTCCCGCCAGTGACTCGCCCATCCTGCTCGTCTTCTTTCTCCTCGTCCTCCTCCTCCCTCCCCTTCCTTGTCCTCCTCTTGCTCTTCCTCCACCTCCCGCCTCCCTCCCTCCCTCCTCCCTCCTCCCTCCTCCCTCATCCCTCCTTTCTCCTTCTTTTCTCTTCCCTCTTCCTCCTTGCCCTCCTCGTCCTGCTGCTCCTCCTCCTCCTCCTCCTCCTTCTCCTCCTCCGCCTCCTCCTCCTCCTCCTCCTCCACAGTTACTCAATATGAATACTACTCTCCCTCTTCCCCTGATGACGGTTTGAAAGTATTAGCCCCCCCCCGCGTAACAGGATTCCCCGGAGTTGGGTTTTCGC